CCATAAATCACTGTGACGTCCCCTTCTCTGGGGAGGTCTGGTTTCCCTTAAAATGTTCTTTATGTTTTGTTTTACTGTGTATATCCGGCTGCCACCAGGAAATTTAAGGCTTTCCAAACCTTTATACTATAATATTTCTATCACTGGGTAGGTAGGTCGAGGCTTTAGGCTTTCATGGGGGTCTATGTGTTTTCTGGGAAGTATTTCTTTCAGAACTGGTATCTTAAATAAAAGTAGATTTATTGATATAATTTGTAAATAAAAGAGTATAACAAGGTAACCGGTACTGTGAACAATTGTTTGGTGTCTCACATAAGATCTGCTCCCTATCTGTCAGGGATATTTCAGGTATGTAACTTTGTAACTTTAACTCAAGGTCATGTAAGTTCACTGTTTCTCTCCAGGACATACAGCCTTTCCTAAACTTTGTCTTCAATTACTTTCATTTACATTTTACTATTCTCTCAGAACAACCTCAGCTGTTCTTAAATGCACACACACAAACTGCTTCTCTCTCAGACTTCAGAATGAACTATCTGACTGCTTAACTGTCGTCAACTGTCACACTTCAGCTGTCAAAACCTCAAACTGTCACTCCTGATAGACATATTCATCCACACAGCATCACTTCCAAAACCCCTCCCCCTCTCTGTCACTCACCAATCACACCACTCTTGCCTCTTCAAGCACTCTAGACTATCACTTGCAACCAAACTTTTAAAGAGACACACACCCATAAACAAGGAATCGTTACAATCACTGTTAGAAAATAATGCAGTAAACCAGGACCCCAATATTTATTGATTTATTTGCACCATATATACCCAAATTTCTCCCCAGTGGGGACCCAAGGTGGCTTACAGAATTCTCCTCTATTTTATCTTCACAACAACTCTGTAAAACAGATTAGGCTGGGAGTGTGTGACTGGCCCAAGATCACCCAGTAGTTCCATGGAAGATTCGGGACCTCTCTCAAACCTCCAGATCCTAGTCCAACATTTGAACACCACTACCCCATGATGGCTCTCCAGTAGAACACTGGTAAGAAGAGCTGGGAGGAGGAGGAGGAGGAGAACTGGATTTATACCCCACCCTTCACTCCGAGTCTCAGAGTGGTTTACAATCTCCTTCCCTTCCTCTCCCCACAACAGACACCCTGTGAGGTAGGTGAGGCTGAAAGAGCTCTGAGAGAACTGCTCTTGAGAGAACAGCTCTGAGAAAACTGTGACTGACCCAAGGTCACCCAGCTGGCTACATGTGGAGGAGTGGGGAATTAGACCCCATTCTCCAGATTAGAGTCCACCACTCTTAACCACTACACCAAACTGGCTCTATGTATACATGAATGTGATTTGTCTTCAAAAATATTCCTATCTAGAGATTATGAAAGAGTGAATTTAAGAAAAGATTTATTTGTTTGGATATCCACTTTGATGTGAAACTTACTAAATATTACTCTTCCTATTGGTATCTCCTTTACAAAATGGATTACATACAACAGAAATACTTTTAAAAGCTCACATTGAAGAAAGTCTTCATGTAGTCTTCAAACTCTTTTATGGGGAGGGAGGTATGGTAATAGGTGGGTTATGAACTGCTTCTGACTGTAACAGTGTTTTGTGTGGAGCAATTTCTATTTTGCATGTTGGCAAACTGAATAAAAACATGTGATTAAGTGAGATATTTTCTCGCGCTGACTTCTAAATCTCCCCCTGGGAGGATGAAGCCACCCAGCTCTGCTTCACTGAGTCATCACAAGTTAGGGAGAGAGGGAGTTACAGTGAAGCCTTTGCAAATCAGGAAGCTTTCAATTCTGTTTCACACCTGAGAAACGGGGGAGATGAGAGGGAGTGCATGGCTTTGAGAACATGCTGAGTCATTCCCTTCACAGATGGAGACTTGTTGTGACATCTGAATGCAGGCACAGCCTTAAAAAGTACTTTCGAAGCAGAGAAGGTACAAAAACAATTTGTAAATGACAGACCAATTGATGCTGACTGACAGCGAAAATACCTTAGGCACTGAGGAAAGGTGGGGTATAAATATTTTAAATAAATAAATAAGCATATTTTCTCACCACTTGAGTGTCCTAACTCCAGCTTTTGTTTCTGGGATTTAATGTTGAAGTCTAAACTCCCTTAACACTGCAATTAAATGCAACCAGTAAGAGAAACTTAAACAACAAATTCATAATACGCAGTCTAAGGTTAAAACAAACAAACCATAAAACTGAAAGAAGGAGAGAAAATGTAGGAGAAAAAAATAGGTCTTTGCGTATCACTGGAAAGACAACAAATTTGGCACCAAGCAAGCATTCAAGGGGAGGGCATTCCATAGCTTGGTTGAGACACCCAAAAAGACCCCTGCCGCTGCTTCAAAAAAGGAGGGAGGCAGAGCAGGGCCTCAGGTGTCTATTTTACAGGATGGATAGAAACATATGGGAGAAGGCGGTCCAAACAATTTAGGGTTTTTAAAGGCAATGACTAGCACTACAAATTAAACCTGGAAAACAAGTAGGATGCCAATGAAATTGTTCCAACACTGGCAAGATGTGATTTCTACAGCTGGAATCAGTCAATAATCTCAGCATAGCATTGTGTAATCAACAGCAGTTTTCCACCATCTCCAGATGTAGCCTCAGATAGTGTACAGCCCAGCGAGGTAGCCTGAATGAGATCAGTGCATGGATAACTGTCAAGGTTGCCAGGTCTGTCTTTGTCCCCGGCAGGGGACTTTGGGGGGCATTTCTGAAGGGGGTGAGGCGTCCCCAATGCAATGACATCATGTTAGGGACATCCCCGCTCCAAACCCAACCCTCGAGAACTATTGCCAGCAGCCAATTAGGTGGAGGGCCCTTTAAATCTTGCAAGAGGGGAGAGGGGCTGCTGCTGCTGTGTGCCTGAACTCCAAGCAGCAATTAGATGGAAGCACTTAAAGGGGCAGGGCTTGGGGCAGGGGTGGCAGCGGGTTGAACCCCCCAAAAAGCAGGTAAACCCCACCAGGCTGGGGGGTCAGGCAACCCTAATAACTGTGGCCAAATCCTACCTGTCAAAGAAGGGTCACAACAGGAGATCTGTATTTCTGTCTGAAGATCCAGGTCTAACAGGAACCCCAAGCTGTAAATCTGTTCCTTCAGAGGAGATATGACTCATCTGGAACAGACTGACCCTGCAAACTTGGACTGGCCCCATTACTGACTAGCAGGATCTCCCATCTTATCTGGATTGAGTTTCAATTTACTGTACCACTTTCAGCTCATTACTGCCTTCAAGTATCTATTCAGAATGTTCACTGACTCACCTGGTTCAAGTGAACAAAAAAGAAGAAACAGAGCACGTTGGAAATACCTTACTCCAAATCTCCAGTTGATCTCTCTCCCAAACAGTTTCATATATACATAAAAAAAACATGGGGGATAAAAATCAATCCCTATGGAAGCCTAAAGCATCAACACCATGGGCTTGTACAGAACTGTCTGAACATACCATCTAGAATCAATCAGTCAAAGAAGAATGGACCCATGAGAGTACAGTCCCATCCCTCACCCATATCAGCCAGCCAGTCCACAATGATACATTGGTCAATGGTATTAAAAGCCACTGAGAGATCCAGGAAGGGAATCAGAAGTGTCACACTCCCCAGTCTCTCTTCTGGTAAAAGCTATCCATCAGCACAAGCAAAACCACTTCTGTAGCAAAGCTGGGCCTGCAACCAGATTGAAATGGGTCTAGATAATCAGACACCTCCTAAAATGCCTGAAGCAAGCTTACCACACTTGAGCATCTTGCCCCAAAAGGGGATATTCATCACAGGATGATATTAAGTTCTTTTGGGTCCAAGAATGGTCTTTTCAGAAAAGGTTTCACAACCACTTCCTCCAAGGAACTTTGCACTGCCTCCTCCTCTAAAGATGCATTTATGAATCCCTAGACCCAGACAATGTCCCCCTCAGTCAGCTTTATTCAGCCAGAGAGGGAACGGCTGAGCCTTGAGGATGGTGGCTGGACTCCTCCAAGCAATTTGTTCACATCCATAGGTTGCACTAATTGAACGCTATACACATTTCCAAATACTTGTTGCACAGAATATGCAGCAGCTGGGGTCTGCCATGTAAAGTATGGAACTGGCCACTAGAAAGCCAAGGCATGAAACACCAAATTGACACAATGTTTCAACACAATAATTCAACAAGCAGTGCAAAAACAGAAAAGTCAGAAAATGAATAATAAATTTAGCATTAGGACTGTAAAACAGGACAGAATTGAACAATCTTAAAACAAATAAAGCTTTGAACACGTTTGCATAGCATAACTATCAGGTATGTGTGTGTTCTGTTTCTTTGGTACAGTGAACTTGCTTAAGTAAACTTTCATCTTTCTCTGCCTTAGCAGAGGGCCACGTAAATTCCAATTATCTCCTCTTTTGTTTATACCTCTTATTTTGTTCACTGTGGTATTACTTAACTAGATTATTTGAAGCATTTCTCTAACATATGGGATTCACAGCCCAATCCCCAAAGTATAATACCGACACAAGTCCACCAACACAAACAGAACATGCACAGGTAGAGGACTTGAGGATCAGTACTGTATCTTGTCTGAAAAACGATTTACTGATAGAACATTGTGTCACACCATATGGTATTTCTGATCTGTGAAAAGACAGACTATTTTAATTTCCAGTGCAGTAAGTCCCTTAATCTGAGCAAACCCAAGTATCCTGCTAGAATCCAAAATGTAATAAACAGAAGGATAATCAAAGCCAGGAAGGTGAAAGTATGCCTAATAAGATGCTCCCCCAGATGAACGCCTCAAATCCTTGTAATTTAGTACTGCAGAGAAATTTTAGAGCAGCTGAAGTATCTGGGTCAACAAGTCTATCAGCACAACAGGCAAGCCTCAGAAAGCACAGAACACACATCATCCCCCAGACAGGAGGCAAATCACTTACCATCTCAGTGCAATCTTGATCGGTGTAGTAAGGCAGGATGTGAACAGGTCAGCTGGCAAGTCAGGGATCATTGGTAGCAACTCACTGGCTTCACATGCTGCCAGCTGAATGCAGTTTTTCATCGAAGGGGGCAAGGGCATCTGAGCAAGGGGATGATTTGGGTTAATTGCAGCCACCTTTATGGGAGATCAAAATAAAACAAGAAACAGTTAAGTCTTCCTTTTGATTAACTACCATTCTCTGGAAAGTCCCCTGATAGTGTGGATCTTTGACAGCAGAAGTCAGAGCTCAGCAAATCACTCCATTCAACAATACTCAAATGATACTGATGCACAATTATAAATCAGAAACGAATAGCTCTAAACTGTATCTAATGGCTGATGAAAAAGATGTTTCCCTATGATCTTTTGGCATTGTATAGTCTGAAGCATGGAAAGAGTCCTGGGGAAAGCAAATAGTTTTTCACAGAGACATTGCCTTGGTAAGCATAGAAAGATGCCCATGTGAACTACACAGTCCAAGCTAGTCTTGTCTATATATCTAAAAACAGAAGAGAATAAAAGAAAATTTAAAAAGTTTAAAATGCTGAGATCTTCCTAGATTACCTTATGAGGCTCACCTGTCACCTACTTGACTTTCTTTTAAGTGTCAGTCCAAAGCAGGCTTTTGATCAGGGACTTTATCTTATCAGCTTTTTAATGGGAAGCTTGTGTTTTATGGATAGTTCTAACGGGGAGCTTGTTTTTAATGGCTTGTTTTTATATTGTGCTGCTGTTTTAATTATAAAATGCCTTGAGCAGGAATCCAAAGCAGCAGCATAGAAATATACTTAATTAATTAATTGAATGAGATCTCAGCAGCCATTCTGGATTGCCTAGGCAAATGCGGTTTCATTTTGAACTGGATAAAAGGAATGGGCAGGTAGGAAAGACAAGAAGGTTAAGTGGCAAAGCTAAAGTACACGGAAGGACACCATGAGGGCTGTAGGTAAGGAAGGAAGCAGGGAAAGTGAGGGAACTGTGAGAGGGAGGGAAGGAGAACCAATGGGGGGTGGTAACAGATCTCCCTCATAAGTCCTCACCGATCCTGTTTCTCAGTTCTGATTAGTCATGTGGACAGTTGGAGATAAAAATGTAGACTGGGAGTGATACCTAAGGGCTGTGCAGGTACGTCTTCAGTGCTCTGAGTGAAGAATGAGTGATATTACAGCTTTGTGCACTTTCCACAAAAATTGGCATCATAGGAAGGTAAGTTTGGCTTAAAGTCATTGTTGTGGTTGTTGCAAAAAGCTTTAAACATTAGACGCTAGAAAGCCAAGGGATTTAGACAAGGCCTTCAGTGATCTGGGTGCACTGAACAAGTGTCTCTTCTAGTCTTACTGCAGTTTGCTCTACAGTAACCCTACTTTTTTTTCTTTCACCATTTTCACAAAACAATCTGTTTAGTTTGAGCCCAAATTTTTAATGTACTTTCTCTGTGCAGACCGGGTGCAAGATACAAAACATTAGTATGGACAAGCTAGCTGGGTCATCAAGATTCACTGCCTGCAAATTATTGTAAAAAAAGTAAGAATACTAAAAAGCAGATAGGAAGCATTTTCATAAAGTACTCTATGCACAGTTCAAATAATCTCTCTAGTTTTTTTAAAGTCGTTTTTGACATCCCAGATGATTTCTGATTATCACTCAAAAGATTTCTGGTTTTAAAATTCTGGTTGTAATCAAGTGTTTGTTCCAGCCAACAAAATGACACTTGAGTATCACCTACAAACCCGATAATGGAGATACTAATTAACTAGGAAGATCTAACTAAACTAGCCATTCTGCATATTTAGGAAGAGAAAATTATGTCTAATAGGTGATGTGAAGTAAGAGTAAAAAAGAGAACCACATGGAGATGTTCTAATGGAGTCTATTCCAAAAGAGAAGGAGAAATGTGTCAAGGCAAAAGGATTATTATGCAGAAGGCATACACAAAGAGACATATGACTCTTAAGATAGCAAACAGCAGCTTGTGTGGATCTTTCACAAAGTTCAGTGTTTTCAAGGGGCCAGAAGCAGTAGTCAGCGTGCAATAACAGCTCAACTTTTTGTTCTGTACAGTGGATCACAGGAGAAATATCAAATCACGTTACTTTCATGTCAATAAGATGGACCAAAATAGAGTCAACAAAATGAAATCACTCCAAACAGGAAATTGCTTTCCGAGGACTGTATGACATCCTCGCTATAAGTTATGCTTGATCCAGGAACAGCCAGCCATGAAATCTGAGTCACAATGAGAAAATAGCCAGGCTAACAGAAATGTCAAATGCATCTTCCATATACTATAAGTGCATTGATGAATACATTATGCTAACACTACATCTGCAACAGTGCTTAGAAATTACTGTACAAATGGTATTAAATTCATTCACTCTATTCAACAGAAAATATGAGCTTCCTTCTTCTTTTGAAGACAGCATCCCCATTTTCAAACCAGCTACTAAAGTTTACCAGCATATTGAAGGGAGATTTCAGTCCCAAAGTATGCATCTTCAGGGCTACATCGAGAAGAAATCAGCAATAGGGTAAAAAAAAGATAAAATGGAAGAAAATCCAAGGAAAGGACGCACTAGAAAGGTGGTGGAAGACAAGATTTCAAAAGAAGATATGGGGGAAGTGCTGAAAGTGAGTACAGATGAGAAGCCATGTCCTCCATATCACATGTCCAGATGGGAGTAGCATCACTTAAGGTGAGCCTGTTTGCAACCCAGTTTGGCTGTAGTATCAGAATTAATTTTATTACAAAAAAACCCAAAAAACAACCCAGCCTTTCCTCAGCAACTATGGCATCATCATCCAGCCAATCAAATCTGGTTATATGATGATTTATAAGATTGTGCCAATCTACCACAGTTCCTTTCACATATAAATGTGTATCTGTTTTCATTAGAAATATAATTTGTGTACCAAAGCTTAAATATGTTCAGTATTAACGCTCTGGTCAAATATAGTCATGAGATCAGGGACAATCTGCAACAAGTGTAATCACTTAACACATACTAACACAAAGATCCTGTTGTTTAAGTGAATATACTGTTAAAGAATCAGGCACTCCAACAAAAGCCATGGTCAGACAAGAAGAAGAAGAGATTGGATTTATATCCTGCCCTTCACTACCCAAAGGTGTCTCAGAGCGGCTTACAAATTCCTTTCCCTTCCCCTCCCCACAACAGACACCCTGTGAGGTAGGTGGGGCTGAGAGAGCTCTGACAGAAACTGCTCTTTTTCAAAGACAGCTCTTGTCAGAACTATGGCTTGCCCAAGGTCATCCAGCAGGGGCAAGTGGAGGAGTGGGGAATCAAACCCGGTTCTCCCAGATTGGAGTCCTCGCAATTAACCACTACACCAAGCTGGCTCTCATGGTCATGGTTATACACCAAACTGGCTCTCATGGTCTCAAGCCATGGTTATACATAATTCCCCTTAAGAAACCGTAAAGCATCTACACTACCTGAACAATACCATATCTATAGTTTTGCAACTTGGTCATGCATTTGTCAAGGGTAAAAAAAGCAATCTGAGAAATCACCATCTGTCACAAAAATACTTTTGGGCTTATTTTGCAGCATCTGAAACCACTTGTTCTTTGGTAAATGTGGAACAGTCATTTGATGAACAATGGGAAGTCCAGAATTTAGAACTGGCCAAGAAGCTATGGCATTTGTATCAAGGAAGAAGCCTTTTCTGATGGCACAAAATCAACTGAACACAACTCTATGTCCAACAAAAGGATTACTATTGCTTGATTTCCAAAGCTGGCTTCAACAGTGTCTGGGCAGCTTTCCATTTGCTAGGACAACCATTATGCTACATATATAACACCAGGAATAATTTAAAAAGAGTTCAGTGTGCATAAGATTTAGGCATATTTAGATTTGCAAGTAACCTATTTAGTGGTAATCTAATTAAGAGAGAATGCTGCAGGAGAAATTGCAGACCCACCTCACCAGTGACAGATGGGACCCTTCGCCAATTTGTAGCAACCATGTCTATAGGCCAAGGGCCTGGCCCAACGACACTACAGGACTTGGGCTGAGTGGGTTCAGTAGCCAACTGGTCCCCTCGGAGCCCTGCCATTCATTAACAGATGGAAAAGTGACTTTGCCAAAAGTAGCCACGGCAGACTAAAGAAGATCTAGAAATCCCCAGTCGGGGCTGTAGCCAGAGTGCAAGGCTGGAAGGAATATAGTTCATGGCCAGGGGGTCCCATATCGCATTGACCTAGGAGTAAACTCAATGCAATCCTAAGCAGGCATACTTTGAAAGAAGCCCCACGGCGTTCACTGTTCACTACAGGCATTGCCATTGTGGGATTCACAACTGGCTGACAGGCGCTTCCCCAGGGTGTGTAGGGGCTGCCACATGAAGCCAGGTGGCTGGGCAGAAGTGAGCAGAGGAGTGGCAGGGTGGGAGGTTCGAGGCAGCCTTGTCTCGTCCCTCTGGCTGGGCCCAGGTGATGGCCCCCGATGGCAGAACCCAACCCCTGCGGTGGCAGCACCCTCCGGGTTGAGCCGCACCAAGCAGTCCCAGGTGGAAGGATGTTTGACCAAGCGCTCTGCAGCCCCGCTGGTGCCAAGGGCTCCTCTGAGCAGGTGAGCAAAAAGCTGGGGGCAGCCTCGGTCTCCACGAGTGCTCAGAACCAAGCCAGAGTCTCCCGGTAAGGAGACATAGGGAGGCCATCTGCGCTGGAGCCCCTGGCTGGGCAGACTGGCTCCTCCCGCCAAAATTCAAAGGGGGCAAGGCAGATTTAGGAGAGGGCATCTCCCAAGAGCCCCACAGTGGCTACGGGCCTGCTGACCATTCATCAAAAATTGGTGATACAGTATAGACTAGTAACTAAGATTAGTAATCAGGAGTACATGATTCCGCAGTATCTCTGGACCACAGGAATTCTAGGCTGATTAGGAGCTCCTACTGGTCAATCCCTAAGAATTATTCCTTGAAACCTCCTTTTACATAGAGGCATGTTTGTACTTCTGTAGCCCTCCAAACAGCAGCTAAATTGGGCTCACTGTGCATTACTTTCAAGTAAAGGTACTTCATCTATAGAATTTTATCAAGGGAGTTAAGGGTCAAGAAGAGCAGACCTAAGTCTCACACATTGCCCTCTCCAGACCTCACTGAAGAAATAA